CCCACTAACAGAATCCAGTAAGCAAACCATATCCACTAACAGAATCCAGTAAGCAAACCATATCCACTAACAGAATCCAGTAAGCAAACCATATCAGCTAATGAAATCCAACCCTGATTACTAACCAGATCGACTAACAAGATCAAACGGAGTAACCAAATCGACTCGCGGAATCCAAGTCGGAAGAACCAGATCTACTTTCTGAATCTGATCAGTAACCATCTCTGCTAACGCGATTTAGTTAAGTCCCCATATCCACTAACGGAAACCAGAAGGATAACTTACAACCAAAAAAAAAAAAAAGAAAAAAATTTTTTTTTTTTTTTTTTTAAAAAAAAAAAAAAAAGATGTTTTATAAAAAAAAATGAATAATTTATAAAACACTATTTTTTTTTTTTTTTTTTTTTTTTTTTTTTTTTTTTTTTTTTTTTTTTTTTCTTTTTTTTTCCCTTTTTTTCTCGGGGGGGGGCTGTCCTTTTTCCCCCCCGGCTCGAAGATGAGATGCCATTTCTTTTTTTTTTTTTTGTGCCAATCTCCCCCCCCCCCCACCAATCAGAGGGGTCCGGTGGCCAAGTCTCAGTACATCAGGATAACCCCCCCTAAGTAACCCAGGGACCACAGCGGCCTCAATTCCCAATCACGACGCCGAGCCCATCCCCCCTGTGAAGAATTGAACTCCTAAGACTCCTAAGACTCCTACCCATCATTATCCGCGTCACCAGAGCCAAAACACCCTGTGTTTTTTTTTTTCAACCTTCTGATGTAGACGAGAACAGCAACAACGGCAAAGTGTCTACGAATATGTAATTTTGAAATTTTTATATCATTGCAGGTAAGAAAGAAAAGGATGTGATGTGAAGATCATGAACTGTCATCCAAGGGCATCCTGTCACAGGTATCCCTCCTGGAGGAGGAGCTGTAGGACTTCAACCCAATCAGCAAAAGATTCACTCCTGAGTCCTAACAGCATCTACTCCGTCACTCCCTGAATATTCTTGTGAATAGAGAAGGAAACCCACCCCGTCTTTGCTTAATCTAGTACCCCCCCCCCC